ACAACAGCACGCACAGACACACGCGCGCCACCAACACACGCACGCACAGACACACGCGCGCACCACACACGCACGCACAGACACACCCGCACCAACCACGCACGCCACAGACACACGCGCGCACCAACACACTTCACGCCACCAACACCGGCACGACGGACACAACACACGAACGCACAGACAACACGCGCGCCACCAAACACGACGCACGCACGGGCACAGGCGTCGACAACAACACAACACACACACGACAGACACCACGTGGCCACCAACACACGCACGGCACACGCGCACACCAACGCACGCACGCCACAGACACACGAGTTCAGACCAACACACGCACGCCACGGACACAGGCGCACAACAACATCACGCTATAATTGCTTATATTAGTTATAATTTTAAGTTATTATTATATATATATTATAATATATTATATACTATATTAATATTAATTAGTTAATATTAGTTATAATTAAGTTATAACGAACATGTAAAGTCACACTGGCGTGGTTACTATCATATACACCCCCGTAAGGCACGCACGCATTGAACGCGCATACGCATCACGTTTACGATATACACACCGGCTCATTGCCTCCTATTCTGGTTTTACATTGACCGCGCGAAAGCTACCTGCTGTTTGCTTGCTCGTCTGTTATTATGACAAGTCGCACGCGACTTACTTTTACAACCAGTAATATTATTTTAATGTCGTGCAGAACAAAGCCTTTATCGGCGAAATAGCTAGCGACTATACGAACTTAAATTCCTCACAAATCTACTTCGTTATCACCCACTTATAATGGCTCAATACGCATACGTATAACACTTGCTTTCTGTATAAGGGCCGATGCAGCGCGATGTTCGCAGATGGTTAGTGTGGTGGGCCATCTGTCCCACAAACTGCGTCGAATCCAGGTTGCAGTAGCTGCAGTTCTCCAAACTCTTCGGTCGGCCTGTAGGAGATACAGCGAATGAAATGTTGACCCGCCTCCAGCATAACTACCGGACTAATGGCCCTGCTCACACATGACGATTAGCCTAGCGTATGCCGGACGCATCAAAATTTCTCCTAAAAACGCTGTGAATACGCTGAACTATCGACGGCTGTTTTTTTTCAATTTTGGCGTCATACATAAGCGTGATGTACAAACGAGTTGCGACGCGCATACTTAACGTATTAGTAAACGTATATATAGAACGTTTCATAACTCTATAGATAAACTTATACCAACGAATGCTTAGGTGTATGCCGGCGTTCAAACTTATCGCCAACGGATAGTCTAACTTATGCATAGCGCCGCGGCCAGCCGTATCGCCGGACGATCACGTGTCGTAGCTTATAAAAGGTCCGCCTCAACGATTCAAATCATAACCGCCACTAGACATTCGTCGTATCAACATCACCGTCGCAGTATCAACATTGCACATACCATTTTTATATACCAATTCCCCTAACACGCTGCCAATTAGCGCCATTATACGGGTAGCTTGCTAAGTTAGAAACACGTTTCAGGTAAGTTCTGTGGTCGTCCGCGCAACACGTCAATACGTCAATATGCGTTGGAGACAAGTTACACATTAGGCGTTCAAAGCCACGTTACTCATAACGCTTAAAAATAAGGTTATGGCGTACGCTAGACAATTATCTCGACGTATTCTCGGACTTATGAGTAATTAAAAGTAACGTGTGTGAACATGTTTCAACGATTGAAATACTTACCTACAACTTACATGGCTCCGCGTATGCGGACGTCTATGCGGCATACGGCTGGCATGACGGTCCGGGAAATTTTGGCATGCCTCAAAATTTTTTGAAGACCTCGCCGTACTACGTACGCGATACCAGCGTTGCTTCAGCGGCGCTTCAGCGTGCTAAGCGTGCTTTCAGCGCCTGCTTCAAGCGTGCTACTTTAACTTATACAAAGCTTTACCCATAAACTTATCGACGTTACGCCCAGCCGTATTCACCAAATTTTTGATACGGTCCGCATACGGCTAGGCCCTAAATCGTTCAATGGTGTGACAGCCGGCCATAAGTCGCAAGTCATGTTTGAGTAAAAAAAATTGAGCACAGCACGCACACAATGCATGTCATATGGACAAAAATAAGATTGTTTACAAAATAAGTTTCCAAGTGCCATATTTTAATTCCGGATATATAGGTTTCAGATATCTCTAGTTATTATAGTCATATTTTTATTATTAAAAAAAAAAAAATTATTGAAGGGCCCCTTACCGCGAAAACGCTTTATCTCAAAAGCCTGCATATTCCGCAGAATAGTCGGTTTCGGATCATCAAATTGCTGTAGATCGGTCAATTCTTTAGATATTAGCAAATATTATATATATTTTAAAGGCTAATAAATGATCTATTTATTTATTGCATATAAACTTCAATGTACTAGAATTTTACGACTTAATCCTGGTTTCTGCAGAGCGGTCTCACAAATATTACCCCGCGTGCGCGAGGATTGCTCTGACACTATCATTGGCACCTCGTAGTCGGACGCGTATTCCTCCGGGGGAAGGTAAACGTTAACATTGGCGATCACAGCGGGCCTTACCGCTTCAGCGGTCGAGATTTTTTCCGGGAATCACGCGGCTGAGCGTCTGTGGCCATACGAATTACTATCGCACACAAAGCCGGTAACTCAGAACTGCATCATTGCCGCTAGCGATGCATTTTCGTTATTATGATAATGGTGCATGATGATGCAAGGAAGATAAAACTCCATGATGAAAAGATAATGCCATTGAACTTTCGCCCGACGATTCAAATTTGAGGATGTTGCAGTGGTGCGTGAATTCTTATTGATAAAAACAGCGAATTGGAGTGAGATGATACGAGTAATTCCCATTGTAAAGGCGATAACCGCCAAGGCAAAAGACAATTTTATACAGCTTTATTAATTGGGCACATTTCGCCTGCCAGCCATGAACTTGTCCTATATTAGTGACCATTGGCGAGAGCCGAGGCAACGTCGCGCCAGGACGCGTATTAACCGATCACGGATAGGGCACGTACGTGTGCAAAAAGTTGTGGAATGTTACATTAGCCACAATGTCCAATTCTGCATGCACTATCTCTGAATCTCACAGGCACGTCCGCTACGTCCCGCCTCGCGGGTAGTGATTGCATAAAATTTACCATTGATTACATGTTAGCTTACTACACATGGTAATATAATAACTATTGAGAAACTATTACTATAAGACTTAGAAATAATAAAAAATTCGCACGTTTATGGCGTCCATCACTCACCAAATAAGCGAACATATTATTTGAAAACTCACAAGCGCTAGACATATTACGTATGCGAAGAAGAAAAAGTTGAAAGAAGATAAACCTAAAGAATTTTACTTTTTCTCTGAAACCAAAATCGACGTGTCGCGACGCGTTAGAATGACGTAAAAGGCGAAAACTCGGAATTATGGCTGAATTTCAATAACGAATGCCTAATCGGAGCATCTGGCTGATCAGGGTCTAGCCCCCAGCGGTACAGCCGGAACGCTACCCTGGTACTAAATACTACTATTCTAATATGCCGCGATTCGACCGTACCTCGCCACTCACTAACGCGTCATAGGAGTTCGCCTACGCCCGTACTTCCCTAACCCTCAACCCTACCCTAACTCTAACCCTACCCTAACTCTAACACTAACCCTAACCCTAACCATACAGCTTTAGATAGATAACCAGGGCTACGCTCGGTATACCGGACCGTACCCAGCGCGTACGTTCCGGCTAGTACCCTGGGCGACATAAGACCCTATCAGCCAATAACTGATGTACTTGTAGGTGTGATACTTACTTGCGTTGCACGGACCGACGCTGTTAAACAATACGGGATCGGCCGGTTCCATTGGAACTACAACAGCAAGAAAAATACGCCTAGACAGCACATGATATCGCAATTGGCATGGTATTTTCGCAACGAGTAAGCAACAAGAAATTGTGATTGAAAGTAAAATGCAATGGAAAAACGACACGACACCCACACGTACACACACACACACACACACACACACACACACACACACACACACACACACACACACACACACACACACACACACACACACACACACACACACACACACATACACACACACACACACGTACGCGCGCGCGCGCTGGGCACGCCTATGTTGCCGGGTGAAAACGCATGTGTGTATAATATCGTATTTTGTTATATGGTCGCGAGAAATTTATGGTAAAGGTGACATTCAAGTTCACATTTATTAAGTTACGTTAGTCTAATGAATCGCAAGTAACCTATGGTTTGTAATAGACGTGAAATTCTCCTTCTTCTATAATGACGTATCGGAGCCTATACGTCCGCAGTTTTATTGATTTAATTACCCCACCCCCAGTATTATTAGGACACCAGTGATTTTAATTATAGCAATGCAATTATCGCCAGGTTGCTCGGTCCACATAGAGTTATGTCGACCTTGAAAGTCAATGTTGCCCTCGAGCTCCTGTCACAATGATTTCCTCGGTCCACACAATCCCACGATTGCTCTTTCAATCAGAGAATAAATGTATAACATATAATATGTTATTTGTTACGCGCTTAAGCCTCTAGATAACACGAATTTATTATTGCAATGTTGCAAAAGCTTGAAAATAGCAGCCGTGTAAAAGGCAAGGCTGTTTTTAAGTTGTCAATAGCGCAGTTGTACAAGTAATTTCCGGTAAAACCGTCGTCTGTTATTACATTCATTTGGCAGCTTTCGTTAAAAGCCATATCATGTCGCCGTTCTAGATATCTGCTATTCACTTACGTGTATTATAGTGTATTACCAGTAGGCGGACGGCTATTGTGAAATATATTAGTCCATTACGTATTCCACGTTTGAATCGTTAACCATTCATAATTTTATGAGGTACATTCTATAATCAGCGTTCGGAAAAATCCGCCCTGATCTGATTCGTTCCACACAAATTTCTCTATTCGCGCATGGTATAGCATATATTCGCGTATCGCACAGTATATGCCTTCAGTAGAACTCAACAATGCTGAAAGGGACGCGATGTTATTACTTAAAGAGATCAAGAGATAAGAGGATAAGAAAATGTGAGCGATTTATAACGTACTAGATATAATATGGCTATTATATAGCAACTGACCGGCTCTAACGTGACGCCTCCGCGAACGACAATACGCGGCCACGTGCTGGAAGCGATACACACACTCGTCGGCATTCCTAACCTTGTGTTTACCTCGCGATCTATATGCTACTGTACCGAAACACTGCCCCCCCCCCCAAGGACGTGTACAACGTTGTTGCCGTCTTTCTGATATCCGGATTGCAGAAACGCTACAATCTCTTCATTCATGTTTTCCGGGAAGCGTCGAATCCCTCACGCCCTTTCCTCCGCCCGCGCGCACCACAACAACGCATGTCCCGTGTATTCCGTCGTGCAGTTTAGACAGAAGACGATTGACGCAGAAATTCGGAGAAAACTTTTACGAGAAACTGGAACACGGGAAGAGCAGCCATCGGGAGAAGACGCTTACTTGTTCTCGTCTGAATGTCCATGATGATGCAGTCAAGCACGCATCGGCTGTCGTAGGTGTAGCCGTCGCTGGCGCACACAGGTGAGTAGATCTCCGGACATCCCAGTATGCAGTCAGTGTTCAACATTGCCGCTCGCGGACTTTCCGCACAGGTCAATCCTGAATGGCAACAGAAGAACAATGGTCAGTAATCAGTAATATCAGAGGTAGATAATGACAAATTTATCTATTTATCTTTTTAATAATAATTATGATTTATCATTATCTGAATTGTCATTATCTACCACTGGTAATATGAGGTCATTATGAAATCAAAGTTAACGCTAGGAGGGCATTGTTTCATTTAATAATATAGTGGCAATAGTCACGCCAGCTATAGGGGGTCAAAGGTCTAAGAAACGATAAGGGTTCAATAGTCAAGTCAACGACATGGTGCCAATGGCTATGTCAACGACATGATGTCAATGGCTATGTCAATAATATGATGGCAATGGCTATGTCAACGACATGATGTCAATGGCTATGTCAACGACATGATGTCAATCGCTATGTCAACGACATGAAGTCAATGGCTATGTCAACGACATGATTTATTCAATGGCTATGTCAACGACATGATGTCATTGGCTATGTCAACGACATTATGTCAATGGCTATGTCAACGATATGATGTCAATGGCTATGTCAACGACATGATGTCAATGGCTATGTCAACGACATAAAGTCAATGGCTATGTCAATGACATGAATTATTCAATGGCTATATCAACGACATGATGTCAATGGCTATGTCAACGACGTGATGTCAATGGTTATGTCAACAATATTATGTCAATGGCTATGTCAACGACGTGATGTCAATGGCTATGGCAACGACGTGATGTCAATGGTTATGTCAACGACATGATGTCAATGGCTATGTCAACGACGTGATGTTAATGGTTATGTCAACGACATGATGTCAATAGCTATGTCTACGACATGATGTCAATGGCTATGTCTACGACATGATGTCAATGGCTATGTCAATGATATGATGTCAATTGTCAAATTGACCATAACAGGTCGGCGTACGGGAGGCCACTGGCACGCCATCAAGAGGGCGCCAGGCGTGCTTGTCGTGATGCTTACACTACAACGGCCGTTAAGATCACGGATTCGCGCCGAGGGAGGGTCTACGCGATTGATCCATACCGTAAAGAATCTCTTCAATGATAGATCGTAGGTGATTTTTGATCCGCGGAGTTCCTATATATCCGTTTGAGTAGAAATTCCTTTGCTATAAAGGCGCTTTACGTATTATTAGCTCTTGATATTATAGAGATTCTACTAGTTTGAGCATAGGAAGGCAATAGTTCGTTAACATACCAGCGCATATAATGAGGAGGCAGCCGAGCGATGTCCAGGCCATGTTGCGTTGGAGAGCTTCCAGATGCACGATGCTTCCAGCCACAGACCTGCCGAATGAATAATCGGTAGCCACTAGCCACAGGACACCGACTCAGCTTTAGTCAGGTGGAGGTACGTCCGCACCTACACACAAATGAACGTTCGGTTACGCCTCCGCGTGCAATTCGAACAACATGAGTGCCGATGAATGAGAGGTGGCGGTCTAGAATCCGGGTCTCACTCTCACTCTCTCGTGTGCATGGCACCGGACATCCCAAGGATATTGCTATTCCGGCCGTAGAGCCACGCGGACTGCATTCCTGCTGCTGTTAGACGCACGAATCTGCTGTGTATATTTCGCTCGCAATATCTCACGCTGATCGCTGACTTTGGGCGATGGATGCAGTCATGCGAGGTTTACATTTATCGAATTCGATGTTGTGGTGAAGAGTAAGGTTGCGGAGTGATTAAGGATGAGCAATCTTCGGATGTGTATTCCAGTATAGAACGGCGTCATGGCCGTTGTTGTGACGACCCTGGTTAAGAGTTGAATTCGTTAACTTTTCGTGCATGGCCGATCTACAACATTAGTATATAACGCATAACCACTACTTAGCATATCTCACTAGACTCCACTCTAGCATTGCCTCCAGTGCACGCATTGCTCAGAATATTGCACTAGTCTAGAGCGCCGAGTTATTGCTTAATAAGTCTCTCTAGTCTATAGGCCCAGTCTAGCCTACAGAATATAATAACCCCTACACAACTCACTCCACAGGTCTTAAATCCCCACTCATTGCCCGACCCATTTATTATTGTTTACGCTGCTTTTCATGCATGCGTGTGTTCTGGCTATATAAAAACTAAAACGTATAACAAGTACAGATATGTTTCACTGTGAAATGCGGGCTTCATCATACTTTCTTTCAATGTTAATTTATTGTTTCTTCAACAGATAATAACGCCAGTCCATATCTGGTTCTCGCAGACTCGAGATTCGACCACCCATGGCCCCGGTACGTAGAATCGAAGTCGCTCATACATTGCAGTAGTCATTCTGACTGATGATTACTCGAGCTCATATTACTCATAATGATTACTCCAAGCTCATACTAGCGCCTTCTACATTCCGAATGTGAACACTATCGCAGTGAATCCGTTCACATTCGCACGCGCTATACCATTATGACGCCGGGGCACGATGCGCCTATTTACACGATGCGTCCTAGACGCACGTCTAGGACGTACGTCCAAAACGCACCGTGTATGACAATGCAAATGTATACCCTTGCGATATCGGATGCACAGGACGGATGTTCTAATTTCTTCCGACGTTGCGTTTGCATTATCATACACGGTGTACGTCCTAGACGTACGTCTAGGACGTACGTCTAGGACGCATCGTGTAAATAGGCCTTTAACGAGCTCCACGAAATCCCGTTGCTATGACGAGCTGAAAAAAACTGTAATACGCGCACCGAAACTGTCAATACTGCGAGTTTCCAGCGAGAACATGTCGCAAAATGTAAAGGTGCGTGTACGCCTACGCGTGTGGCGTCCACGCGTACATACGACGCGCCACGGATCACCGACAATAATATCAGCCGAGGTTGGTCAGCAATAATCTCCCGAGTGGGGATGCCATTTTTTGTTGTGGCTCGGACGCTGAATAATCCGCATCTTCCAGCAATCACGATTTGCACCAATTCCTTTCTTTTTCCTGCTCTCGTTGCGTGATGAGAGAGAGAGGCAGCTATGGAAGAGACAGAGAGAGGAGAAGAATGATAGAAATATGATTATGACCGTTGCGAGGCGACGCGTCGCACACGCATCTTTCTAATGCGCTGTACACACGATGAGACGGAAATAACAAAGTGATTAGCCAACGATTCAGCTTGGCTTCCGAGATGATAGTGTGTTTGTGTGTGTTGTGTGTGTAGTGTGTATGTGTTGTATGTGTGCGCGTGTGCGTGTGCGTGTGCGTGCGCGTGTGCGTGTGTGCGCGCGTGTATGCGCACGCGTGTGTTTGTGTGTGTTTGTATGTGTTGTGTGTTGTGTGTTGTGCATGTGCGAGCGTGTGCGCGCGTGCATGCGTGTGTGCGTGCGTGTTTGCGTGTGTCTACGAGCGTCCCTTAGTAGATTGTGTGTAGAAATTGTGTGCACGTACGTTCGTGGGCGCGTGCGTGCGCGTGTAAAGTAATAGAAGACGAGCCGCACCCCTGAACACATCACCGTAACCACGGTCGCGTAACAACCAACGTATAAGTGTTTCTTTCGCTGATCTTGATGTTGCTTTTGGAAATAATCTTTCGCGTGAGTCTCCTATAATGTGTGTTTGAGAGAGTACGGTGTGCGTGATGTTGCAGATGGTCGAGGCACACACACGCACACACACACACACACACACACACACACACACACACACACACACACACACACACACACACACACACACACACACACACACTATCGTACGTACGTACGACGACACTCGCCCGTAAGCCGATGAACGCCGAGCAGCCGACGGCGTTGTCGTGCGACGTCGTCGCCGTCCACATCGTGCAGCCGATCACGAAGTCGCAGCAGGCGAGATTGACGATCGTCAGGTTGGCGGAAGTGCGCAGCCGACGCACGGCGGCGATGATGAGAATGACGAGACCGTTGCCGACCGTCGTGACGACCGACGCCGACACGACGATCGACAAGAAGACGGCGTTCGCCGTGCTGCCGCCGGAGAAGAAGACGCGCTGTCTATCGGCGTCGCTGCCGACGTCCCATCGGTCGCCGTCCGACGCGTTGCCGTTGCTGACGTTCAAAGAGGCGTTCATCGTCGAGTGTGTTCACACGTGTGTGAATCGTTCGCGTCACACCGTACTCGTTCCACTAACGTACTTCGGAACAAACAACTGCTCCACTGTAATCTTTTACACTGTCTCGCACTCGTTAAAAATTCCGGAGTTAATTGAAAGCGACAACTATCTCGTTACACTGTCTCACACTCGTCAAATTTGTAGTTTATTTATATAATTATATGCGAATTTTATGTAAGTAAACCCTGTGGTAAGCGTCGCTCGACGCGAAACGTACAAGTGGTCCTTTATAGGCAGGTATTCTTCTATAAAGGCTGTCCGCGCTTAAAAATTGTGTGTTCAACTTCACTTCTACTTGTTTAGTAAGAACGACAATCGTGGCGAGAGTGAATACGTGAAACCCGCGTAGTGTGCGCGGTAGATGCACGCGTGTCCTTCCTTATGTAGCTGAGCATGCGCGCCGCCCGCGCTTCTTGCCGATATCTTACGAACAGCGACGATACCGACACAGCATTAAAAATATCACAAGCGCCAACCAATCACGAGCTGCGAATCAAATCCGCCGCGGCTCGGCGCAGCACGTCCTGAGCTGTCGGTAATGAGGCTGCAGTCGTCGTAAGTAAGCAGATACTTGTGTGCACCTCGCGTGGCTCAATTACGCGATTACGGCTCGATTACTGAGGCTAATGATAATGAACTCGATGCGACATCTGAACCTACTACTAACACAAGACATAGATATACGCCAGATAGACTTATTTAGAGGTTAAAGGTTTTCCCACGTACATTTTTGTAACAAAACCACTGTAAAAACGCAAGAAAATAACTCACTCCACTTTAACTAAACGTTAGCTTTGAAACTAAAACTGCAAGAATATGTATCAAGCCTATATTTGCTCAACGAAAAATAACTCGAAAAATCGCTTTCGACGCGGTTCGTAATAACATGGCGGTCGAGTTAAAGGCTCATTATTGATGAACGATACGTAATACGTCACCAACATCGCCGCAACATAGTCTAAAAGATTTGAATGAACGCATTCCCGAGCAATTTTATTTTACTTATCACACATATTACTATAGGCAACGTGCAACGTGTAATGTTCAAATAATTCCATTTTTGCTGATTTGAGTTGCCGCCTTGCAAATTTCGGGAAGACACCTGTATACACCCAGTGACGAGCGCTCTACTGGTGCAACCACAAAGCAGATCAAGCTGATGCTCTCACATAGTGTGTGCCGGTGTCTTCGTGTTGGTTGTGTGCCCGATGTGTTGTGTGTGTGTGCGCGTGTGTGTTGTGTTCTGTGTTTGTGGTTGTGTGTGTGTGTGTGGTGTGTCGCTGCGTGATCTTCT